CTTAATATACTTGAAAATAAAAGAAGGGAAGCGCGAGATTGCTTAATAGAGGGAAATATACAAATGCACTGGAACTTTACGAAGAAATTCTCCATATCCATCAGCACAATGCTGATTATCAACAAGATGCTTCGAATTGGAATCTATCAGCTAAAATTAGCAAAAATTTAATTGTAAATAGAATAGATGAATTGGTTAAAGTTCTTTTCAAGAACACTACTCTAACTTCTTTAAATCTTGAAAGCAATCAACTTGATTTCGAGAAAATAAAAGTGTTAGCAAATGCACTTTGCAAAAATACCACCTTAACTAATTTGAGCCTTGGAAAAAATGTACTTGGTAATGAGGGCACAAAAACATTAATGGAAGCTCTTTACAAAAATACATCTTTGACTTGTTTAGATCTTAGCTATAATTATATTGGTCCTAAAGGAGGAAAAGCATTAGCCGATGCACTTTATAAAAACACTACTCTGACATCATTAAACCTTAGTTCAAATGAACTTGGTTATGAAGGAGGAAAAGCCTTAGCAGACGCACTCTGCAAGAACTCTTCACTGAATTTTTTAGATCTTCAATCTAACAACCTTGGTTGTGAAGAAGGAAGCCCATTAGCAGATGCTCTTTGCAAGAATTCTTCCCTAACTTCTTTAAATCTTGGATCCAATAACCTTGCTTTTGAGGGTGGAAATGCATTAGCTATAGCAGTTTGCAAAAATAACATTCTCAGTCACTTAGATATCAAAAAAAACAACATTGGTTCTAAAGGAGGAAAATATTTAGCAGAGGTTCTTTGCAAAAACACTTCTTTAGTTTATTTAAATCTTGAAAGTAATAATTTAGATTCTGAAGCAGGTAAAGCATTAGCCGAAGCTCTTTACAAAAACTTCACTTTGAGTTCTTTAAATCTTAGAACTAACGAACTTGGTACAGAAGGAGGAAAGGCATTAAATGAAGCTCTTTATAATAACACTACTATAACTTTCTTAGATCTTAGAAGTAATATGTTTAGTCCTGAAGTTATAAATTCATTAGATGCACTTCTTAGTAATAACGTTACATTAACTTTAATAAAATAATGGTTTATTTATTGTTCTACTGGTACTTTTTGAATTTTATTATTTTTTGTCAAATATCAAACTTCTCAAATTAGATGCCAATATATATAAAATTGCTTAAAGTTGTTATCATAAATTCTGTAACTGATAAAAATTTGATTAATAATTTGGCCGAATTAAACAAGTTTCTTTTTTTTTACCCTTTTTCACAATACTTAATTTCATTATCAATTTTATTTAATTAGATATAGAAGTAAGTTCTCGAGCTTCTTCATTTTGTTTCATATAACAGTACCAAATACTGAAATATAATTTATCACCACAATACACACTTTGCTGCTGACAAAGTTTTTCTGCGTGATTGGCGAAATATTTATAGAATCCTTTTATCATGACGCTTTATCTTTATTTCTTTGTATTTACAGTATATCCGATATGTTATATTATTGCATGAATTTTTTGCCTAATATTTTGCAATGAAATTACGGCACTCGTTTGTTGCCTCAAATCATTGCGCAGTAATATAATTTAGACCTACAATTCATAATAGAAATTTTCTTTTATCTACTGGTACTTGACATATTTTATAACTGCAGTTATAAAAAAAAAAATAGTTCAATAAATGATATTTAATAAATTTATTTATGTATAATAAGGAGGTATTTGAGTGGTAGAGTCCAACCTATAAGTAATATTTAAGTTACTATATTGAAGTTAACCTTTGAAGAATTGACAAACTCAATGAAATATATGCACAATCAATATACGAATAAAAATTTAATTAGTAAAATTTTTAAAATGAATGAACTTAAAGATAAATAAAAATAATAGCAGAAATATTCAAAATTAATTTCATGAAAATTTTAATATCTGCCTCAAAATAACTCCCATGTATATACTCTAAATAATGCGTATTTCGAGAAAATAAATGTGTTAGTAAATGCACTTTGCAAAAACACCACCTTAACTTTTTTGAGCCTTGGAAAATGTATTTGGTTCTGAGGGTTCAAAAACATTAGCGGAGGCTCTTTAGAAAAATACATCTCTGTCTTGTTTAAATCTTAGTCATAATTATATTGGTCCTAATGACGGAAGAGCATTAGTAGATGCACTTTATAAAATAAAAAGGTTAACTTATTTGAATCTTAATTGCAATGGGCTTGGATCTGAAGGAGGAAAAACACTAGCAGAAATGCTTTGCAAAAATACTACATTAATTTTATTAATATTAATTCTAATAATACTGCAGAGAGAGGTGAAGCAATAGCAGAAGCGCTGCAAGAATACCGGCTTAACTTCTTTGGAACTTCATGATAATAAACTTGAATTAGAGGGTGGAAAAGTATTGGCAAATGCACTTTGCAAGAACAGCACCCTGACTTCTTTGAATCTCAATTGTAATCAACTTGGATCAGACGGAGAAAAGTTATTCGCAGAAGCACTTAGTAAGAATACTACGTTAGGATCTTTGAAACTTTTTAGAAATAAACTTGGTTCGGAGGGAAAAAGAATTTGCGGATGCACTTTGCAGGATCTTCGACATACCAAATTTGATCAAGAAGCAAAGATAATTTTAGAGAAAGCTACAAGTCACTCTAATTACAATGAACATTGGATATAGTGGTGACTAATTAAAATCTCAATATGACGAAGTTAGAATCAATGACAATTATAAAAATTCTTTCAACATGCGAATTTATTAATAAAACATTCAATATATGAATTTTAAGATTTTATTAATAAAACTGATTATTTCGTTATAATAAGAGGAACTTATATTAGCAAAATATTATAAGAAATTAAAATCTGAGATTATAAAGCAATCATAAAATAGACTTGACTTACAATAACACATAACTAAAACCCAATGCTAATAAGTTTTTATTAAAGCAATAAATTGAGTAATTATACGTATTAAGCTATACCCTATCACCAATACATTAAGATAAATGTTTTAGAAAAGTACTAAGAAAATAAAACGAAAAGTATTGCATGCCAGAATTGAATTTTATTTATTTCTATAATACTAATTAAAATTGTTTTTTTGTTTATCATAATAAAGAATCGTTTTGCTTTATATAACCTATTATTTAAAATTAGGGTCATGATATTTGTTTAACACAATTTGCATATATAATTTTTATTTCTTACATATTGATATAACGATAACGGGCCTTACATACAATAATCGTTAAAAAAAAAACATATACATCTATTTAAAAATAATTGCACACTAAAATATTGAACAAAAAAATCATACAAAGAAAGGTTTGATATACGAATACTCTAGGGTTAAAGAGTTAAAGGGAATGTGGGCCCTTAAAAGACAAATTTGTGATTGAGTTGTCAATGAAAGTTTTGTTTTTAGGAAAAGAGCAACGAAAATATGTAAAATTGATAATGAAATTAATTTGTTACTTGTTACGATGAAATAAAAATTAGCATTTTTTTTATATTAAGGAATTATCTCCTCCAGGTTATATGCAAAAATTTGGTCAGTTGTTGATCCAGTATGAGATACTTTGTCATCTTGTTTAATGCATAGTGATGAATTACTAGAATTTTCACTTAAAGAAACATTTTGACTAATAATTTCTGGTTGATATTGAGTTGATGAACCTTTTTTATCAGTAGTTTTATTTCCAGAATCAGATTTAATAGGGGCTTTAGAATTTTGATACAAAGTACTTTTGGTTACCCATCCGGCTCTTGCACCGGTCAGATATTTTTTATCAATTTGTGGAGCAGAATTAGAATATACAATTGGAGGAGATGAAATATCAATACTTTTATCTCCAGAGTCTGTTTGAGAAATATTACTTTTGCAAGTTACCCATCCGGCTCTTGCACCAGTCAGATACTTTTTATCAATTCGAGGATATGTCATCGGAGGGGATGCGATGAACGATGTAGGTATTGCAGAAGTATCGATATCTGAATCACGTGAATCGATTGTATCATGTGATCTAGAGCCAACTGTATCAATTTGTCTCGTTTTAATTCTGGATGGACTAAATTAAGATAGAAGAATGTATCAAATGAAAAAATAAAACAATGCATGAAGAAGAAATACTATATAACAAGTATACCTGCAACAAATAAAACCAATAATCTTGGTCCAGAGTATTCCATATTGTTTAGTAGCAAATTCACCAGTTCCAAAGCATAATAAAAATAAAATCATACTCAAACACATATGTAAAGTAGTTCCGTTCCTGTTCCAAAAAGGATTATCGATAATTTTGATATCATTATTATATATTACGTAATGAATATTTTCTATAAATTTTATTGTTGCATCAGGTATTCCGGAGATGATTAGTAGACAACACCATGAACCCATACGAAGAAGTACATTAGGTGGAATAGTTGGTCTTGTGGAGATGGATGCAGTTTCAGGTGGTGGACCCGCACGCGTACTGCGTAATGGACCAGGTTTAGGAGAAATTTTGGATTGCCAAGGAAGCGCGAATGATTCTCGAGAACGATAGGTACTGAAAACTCTTCCAACGACGGGGATTACGGTAATAACTTTAAGAATAATAAAATAATATAATAAAGAATTGTTATATATGAAATTAATGATTAATAATACTAATTAAGAACGAATTATAGATAGGAAAAGTAAAAAATTACCAGATAAAATACAAGCCGGATAAATTGGTACAAATTCAGGAACGGTTCTTATAATAAATAAAAGAAGTCTATAATCTCCATGTCGAGAGATAGAACAAATGCCACCCGTATCGATCACTTCAAATAAAGGATTATGATGCAAATATAACATTATTAAACTTGATGTGATACTCAAAATTGGTATCACGACAGTTAAAAAAATATTAAGTCTCCTTATATTGACATCATTTCGATTTGTGATAGGATTTGAGAGGCCTAATGAAACAAAAAGCTCTGT